GCGCATCAAACAGTGTTAGCCAGGTTGATGGGGTGTCAGATATGGCACCAGCTTGCTGGCTCTGTTGGGGGATGGTTTAGAAAAGGGACTATGGTGTCTGCTTGATGCCATACACTTCCTGGCAGTGGAACCCTGATCTCGGGGGGCCTGGTGTGGGTCTGGGACTCCTCGCTGTCGAGACACCCTGCCAAATTTAATTTATCATACGTGGTTGAGGGACCAGCCTGTTCTAAGTCTGTACCCCTCCTACTAGTCTGGATAGATGTGGTTTCTTTAATTCTATAGTTGTTAGACTTCCATTCAACTCCATTTTTGATGGTTATGAGTGAATGTTGTTCTATATTTTAGTTGTAATTTTGATGTGGTGGTGGAAGAGGTAAGCTGTGTCTGTTTATGCCACCTTCTTGACTGAAAGTCTCTGTATCCTATTTCTTGAAGATTGTCTCTCTATTTGTGAAGTTTTTTTTATTATAAAGCTAGTATTGTTCTGAGCCTAGTGATCAGCCCAATGTGAAAGGTTAAATTCTTCTGAGGTCTTACCTATGAATGTGTGTGTCATTTTTTAGTTCCCCATATGTGTAGTTCTTTGGGCCTTAATTTCCCACGGAAATCTGCCCTAGAATTAGATGGTCTATTATATGAGTATATCTATCTCTATAACATCTCACCAAGCATCTGCAGGTATGTAATTTTGTCATTTTCCTGCAGGTTTCATGAATAGTGCTCACTTCTTTTCCCATCCAAAATCCATGTTAGGGGAAATAGAAACCAGTCCTTCAGGTAGCCTTTAGCTTTATACAATAATTTGAAAATAAAGTTTGCTTCACTCGCTCCATTTGAGAGAGGGAACTGACAACAGGGATGCTGGTACTTCTAGACCAAGACCACTGTTGCACCACTGAGGTTGTGTGGAAAAGGCAGTAAGAACATGGCAAACCTTCCCTACCCTCTTGAAAGTGGCTTCTTGATTGTGCATTCACTTAGTTGCTGTAAGCTTTTGACTGTTTTTGATATTCCTCTGAAAGTTTAGCAGTTTCTTTTTTTTAAACACTAAAGCAGATTTACTGAAAAAATTTTAAGAACTTGTCTAATTCTATACCATACAATCAATAATTGACACAAGTCTCTGTAAATGCCATTTTAGTTCCAGAATACTAAAACTTCAGCAGATAGATAGTTTGGGAATGAAATGTATAGTATTAATGAAGGCGAACCTCAAGAAAAGGAGTTCCAATGGAAATAGCAAGACAGGGGAGAATCTGGCTCCCCCGACAGGTGAGTGTCTGAAGGTATACAATATCTTTGAATAAAGGGAGAAGGAAATGCTTTGGGACAGAACTCCCATTTGAGTACCTTGCTGACATAAATCCTATTTTTCTGTTTAGTCAATTCAGACTTGATTTCCCCTTAATGTGAGCAAAAGTGTCAAAAACAATCATATAGTTAGTGAAAATAAAAAAAAATGTTTGGCCTTATAATACCTACTCCTGATTCAGAATGACAAGATTAAGAAATGTGACATATCAAAACAGGATTACTCTGTGAGCTGATATCATATGTTTAGAGAGCATTAATCTGGCTTGATTCTTTCTTTTTATTGAATTTATTGAGGTGACATTGGTTAATAAAATTATCTCGGTTTCAGGTGGACAATTCTATAATACATCATCTGCACATTGTATTATGTGTTCACTACCTCACGTCAAGTCTTCTTCTGTCATCAATTATCCCCCATACCCTTTTCTACCTCCCTTCACCCTCCCTTTCCATCTGGTAACCACAATACTGTCATCTGTGGATGAGATTTTTTTTTTCCCCTAGTCCCTTTACCTTTTTCATCCAGCTCTGGAGTCCCCTCCCTGCTAACAGCTGTCAGTCTATTCTCTATCTGTAAGTTTGTTTCTATTTTGTTAGTTTTTTTTTGTTGTTGTTCATTAGATTCCACGTATAATTGAAATCATGTATTACTTTTCTTCCTCTGACTGGCTAATTTCACTTAGCATAGTAATTTTCAAGTCTATCCATGCCATTGCAAAGGGTAAGATTGTCTTCTTTTTTTATGGCTGAGAAATATTCCATTATGTAAATATACCACAGCATTTTTATCTTCTCATCTGTTGATGGACACTTGGGCTGCTTCCAAATCTTGGATAATGTACGTAATGCTGCAACAAATACAGGCATGGATATATTCTTTCAAAATAGTATTTCGGATTTCTTTGGATATAATCCCAGAAGTTGAATCACTGGGTCATAAGGCAGTTACATTTTAAATTTTTTGAGGAAACTCCATACTACCTTCCACAATGGCTGCAGCAATCTGCATTCCCACCAACATTGCAAAAGGATTCCCTTTTCTCCACATCTTTGTCAACACTTGTTTGTTGATTTCTGACAGGTGTGAATTGATAATCTCATTGTGCTTTTAATTTACATTTCTCTGATGATTAGTAACATTGAGCATTTTTTCACATCTATTACCTATCTGTATGTCTCTGGGAGAAGTGTCTTTTCAGGTCTTTTTCCTACTTTTTAATTGGATTGGGGGTTTTTTGTGTTGAGATATATGAGTTCTTTATAAATCTTGGATATTAACTCATTTTTGGATGTATCATAAGAAAATACATTCTTCTATTCAGTGGGTTTCCTTTTCACTTTTTGATTGTTTCCTTTCCTGCGCATAAACTTTGTAGTTTGATATAGTCCCATTTGCTTTTTGTTTGTTTGTTTGTTTGTTTGTTTTCATTGCCTGAGAAGATATATCAGAAATAATGTTAGTAAGAGAAGTCTTGGAAATTTTACTGCTTATGTTTCTTGTATCATACTTATGGTTTCAAGTATTACATTTAAGTCTTTAATCCATTTTGAACTTATTGTTTATGGTGACAGGAGGCAGTGTAGTTTCAATTTTTTGCATATCTGTCCAGTTTTTCCAACCATTTATTGAATAGACTATTTTATCTCACTGTATGTTTTTGCCTCCTTAGTCAAATATTAATTAGTATAAAGGTGTGGGCTTATTTCTGGGTTCTCTATTCTGTTCATTGATCTATATGTCTGTTTTTATGCCGGTACTGTTCTGTTTTGATTGATATGGCCTTGTAGTATGGTTCGATAGCAGGTAGTGTGATTGATATCTCCAACTTTGTTTTTCTTTCTCAAGATTGCTGAGGCTATTCAGGATCTTTTGTGGTCTCATATAAAATTTTTGGAAGGTTTGCTCTAGTTCTATGAAATACACTATTGGTATCTTGATAAAAATTGCATTGAATCTATAGTTTGCTTTGGGTAGTAGGAACATTTTAAAGATGTTAATTTTCCTATCCATGAATATGGTATATACTTCCACTTATTTGTATGCTCTTCAATTTTTTTATTTGATGCCTTATAGGTTTCTGAATATAGGCCTTTTACTTCCTTGGTTAAGTTTATTCCTAGGTATTTTATTTTATTTTTTTATGCAATTGTAAATGGGATTGTTTTCTTAGTTTCCCTTTCTGATAGTTCATTATTGGTATATAAAAATGCAGCTGATTTCTGGATATTTATTTTGTATCTTGCTACTTTACTGAATTTATCAGTTCTTGTAGTCTTTTGGTGTAATCTTTAGGGTTCTCTATATACAGTATCATGACATTGCAAATGTTAGTTTTACTTCTTCCTTTTCAATTTGGATGCCTTTTATTTTTTTCTGCTTGTCTGATTTTTGTGGGTAGAATTTCAGTACTGTGTTGAATTAAGTGGTGAAAGCAGACATCCCTGTCTCATTTCCAATCTTAAGGAAAATGTTTGTTGTTTTTGCCCATTGAATATGATCTTGGATGTGAGTTTCTCTTATGTGACCTTTATTACTTTGAGATATGCTCCCTCTTTTCTCACTCTGCTGAGAGTTTGTATCATAATGGGTGCTGGATTTTATCAAATGCTTTTTCTGCATCTATTGATTTGATCATGTGGTTTTTATCCTTCATTTTGTTTATGTGGTGTATCACATTTATTGATTTGCAGATAGTGTATCCACCTTGCACCCCTAGAATAAATCCCACTTGATAATGGTGTATGATCTTTTTGACATATTCGTGGATCTAGTTTGCTAATATTTTGTTGAGGATTTTTGTATTTATATTTTTTATGGATATTGACCCATCATTTTCTTTCTTTGCAGTATCTTTATCTGGCTTCAGAATTTGAATAATGCTGGCCTCATAAAAAGAGATTGGGAGTTTTCTCTTTTCTTGAATATTTTGAAATAGTTTGAGAAGGATATGTGTTAATTCTTTGAATGTTAAGCATTGCGTACGCTAAATTATTTTTAATTTTCCTTCCCCACCAGACTCTGCTACCTATTTCATTTGGGCTACTTTTTTCTTCCTTTCCTACATGTCCTCTCCTCCCCCCAAACTTCCCCTAAATCCAGGAGAATCCAAAAAATTGGGGAAAATGCCGTAGTTAGCCAACCTAATGCCCCAACCAGTACTGGGCCCTCGAGGGAAAAGGCTGGTTTTAAGTCCAGAGCACAGGACACTTGCTCCCTGTTGCCACCATTCCCGTTGATTAGTCTTTTGAGTATTTGAAAGAGGAACGCTGCACACAGAGCCCAGAGGCTGAAAAAGCTGGCATGTTTCTTTAGACAAAAAGGAGTATGTTCCTTCTTGCCAGAGAAACCAGGGCTTTTGCGAGCCCCTGGCCCCCACTTTGTGGACCTCTCTGGAGAGGTGATGCACAGGCAGAAATGAAAATTTAATATTAAGTAGTGAAAGAACATTTGGATATTAGGTCTGGAGGGAAAAGTAGGTGACAGATCATAACTTATCAAATACGGATTTCAAAAGTAGACATCCCTTCTAACTAATGAAAGACAGTGTTTCGCTGTCTAGTTAAACATTTTAAGTTGAGTTATTGTGCATTTGAAATGATGAAGATTTTTATTGCCATTTTAGGTTATCAGCATTAAAAAGCAATTAATATAATTGTACTATTAATTAAAAAGACAAAAACACTTTTTAGGATTAAAGTATTTATTAGCAGAAACTGCAGTAATGCTAGGAATACCTTCTTACAAAATTAGAAAGCCAAACACTAATAATAATTTCTTATTCTAATAATCAGTGGAGTGATGAAGGCATCTGTGAATATGCCATTGAGAATACATGCGAACATTAGATGAAATACACAACTAGCTTCATCTCAGCAGAATTGGGCCACTTCTCTCTTGGTACAGCCTACAGAACAACATTTGGTAGATATTAGGGAAGAGAGGTCTCTCTTTTTTAGTAAATGTTTAACTAAGCGTATGTTTTTTAATTCTGAAAGACTTTTGTCTCCTGCTCCAATAGTATTTTCCTGAAGTTCTTTGAAGTTACGATTTGTATTCTCTGATGCAGCCTGATGCTTCTTAGCCAATGTTGTCTTCAGTTTCCGTGGTGAAGAAAGAGTGAATTCCATTATTGTATTTAAGTATTCTGCATTTTCGGTGGTAGAAAATGGGATGATTTCTAAGTTTAAAAAAGAGGGGGAGGGGAAATTATTCATATCAATGAACATCAGGAAAATGATAAAATTTTGCATAGACATAAAGGAAAGCATTGCTGCGATAAAATTAAATATCAAAACAATCAGCAGGTATCCTGATACGTAAACAATTTGTTTTATTGTAGTTGGGCACCTTAAAGTACAACATTACCAAGGTTGTCGTGCTTTATTCCACTTGGACCATCTGTTACCTCTCCTTATAGCTCCTTAATGCTTTCATCAAAGCCCTTTGATGCTACCTGACATATTTGAAGTCATCTTGGTCATCAGAAACACTCAGTTTGACCATATGTTAATTCTTCTTACCTGAGTATTTTCTTCCATTACTAAGTAACCCCTGAGTTATAATAATAACTCTTGAAGAGTATATGAATTATTTTAAACTATCAAATGTTTCATGGTGGAAAATTACTATTTCAAGATAAAGCTAAAAAGGCAGAATTTTCAACAGCTCTCATCTCTTAGGTAGGTGATACCAGTCTTTGACTCCCTCATACATCTACTATTTAACAACTTCTTTTCTACAGAGTATTTACTCCAAATTGTAACCGAGCCCCTTGTTATTTTAATGGCCCTAGTATTTTTGTCAGCTGGAATTAAATAATGTAATTCTTAATCAGGCCTTTGTTCACATGTTAATGACTTTTCCTGCTCAATTCCTTTTGTTTTCATGAGTATACACTCATAAGTTGCTGATGTACTATCTCTTTGTCAAGCATGAGATAACTTCAGGGTCACTGGAGAATTTATGTGTTAATTTCGCAGAAGGAAAATATGTCTTCAAGGTATCTGTGACTAGCTGCTGATTCCCAGGAGTCTGATAGGAAAAAGTATCATCTGTGACTAAAGAAACACAGACTTCTCATTCAGTTCTCTGGAACTCTCCCTCCCTTACTCCCTGACTACATAAAAACTCCCTACTTTTGTATTTAGGGAGAGATGGATTTGAGAGATCTTTCTCTCCCATCCTCTCCTGACAGTCAAATCGAATAAACCTTTTTCTCCAGAAATCAGTGTCTCAGTCTCTTGACCTACTAGCACATTAATATACAAACCTGAATTTTGGGAGGTGATCCTTCAGCTAAATCAGTAGTTTAGCTGTATTTATCTGAAGGGCAAACTTCCTTTAACTAAGGGTCCCTCTCAGTTTCTCCTGAAGGTGACCAGGCCCTTATCTTTCTTTCCAATCCCTTCTCTCACAAATGAACTTCAAGACACCGTTCAAAGCTGTGGGAGCTAGGCTCTTCCCTTTGGTGCAGTTTACAAACAAATATATAATTAAAACAAAAGAGGAGGTTTTCAATGCAATGGGCCATGGCCCAGCTTCTTATTTTTACAAAGGAAGAGAGTTGTTAAATCCAAAATCCTCCATTCCTACCACTCTGGGACCCTATGGGAGGTCTCTTGAGTTCTGCCCGACTCACTTGATAATCAGCTCATACTCACTTCCATCTGTCCTCTCAAGATGCCCTGTACAGTTGCTCCAACCACCAGCCCTGCCGCTGTCCAGCCCACAGACCTTGGGCTAACGTCCAACCCCAGTTCTCCCTCCCCCTTATGGGTCTTTGGGCAGCATTATCTCCTCTATGGCTTCTTCCTTCTCCCTACTGAGTCACCCTGGCTGCCAAGAGGTGAAGGGTACCAAATGCCTCTCAGATGAGACTATTCCCACGGCTCTCCCTTGCTCTGATGAGATTCCCAGTGAGACCCTTACTAGAAAAGCAAGTTACATGGGAATAGCCCAGACTTTTAGGGACCAGCAGCTCTTACCTGCAGATGGTTCAGATCTCGTGTTATGGGGCTTCCTCATACCCTCTGCCCAGACGTGACTGCCACAGACCTTGATGAAGAAACGGACTAATTCACGGTTGCACTTAATAAAAATTTCCTCTTTCAGGCCTTGGATCTCTCTGGGAAGTTGGCTCAATAGAAGCGAACTTCCTAGCAGGTGGAACAAGAACAGACGCAGCATGCTGGTCCTACTCTCCTGTTCTGGGCACTTCAGCCTTTGTTTAGAGACTGCAGCTGCTGCTTTCTATCAGCCTCTGCCTGTGTGCCAGTCCTAGACTTCAGGCTGCTTTCCCTTGGTTGCACTAAGCTTTTATCTAGCCCTTGGGCTACCACCTAGACCTTGAGTCATTGGTCCAGCTCCACCCCTTTCCCCACCCACTTCCTTTCAGTCCACCCCTGGCACCCCTGTCCCCCAGCTCTAATTTGTTCTTCCAACCTTTCCTTTATTGGCTCATCTTTCTGTTCTTGGCTTTCTTACAGTTGTAGTTTTTCTCTTTCCTTATTTTCAAGCCATTTTGTATACTATGTAGTTAGTCAATATTTGAAGTTTTTCCTTTATTATAAAGCTAGGCTGGCCCTTACACTGAATTTTCTCAACAAAAATAAAATAGAAATCATTCATATTCTCACAACCTAGAGTTTTCCAGAATGAACATGTGATGCATAACCTAACCTAAATACGATTATAGAGTAATTAGTATAGTATGTGGTATATCAATCCATAAAAATATAATGGATGAAATGATAAATTGTTGATAAGAGAGGGAAAGCTGATGAATTTTTATCTAAATTACAGTAGAAACATCAAAATTAATGCCTCACTTTAGGCTTTTACAATATCTAAGTTTGCTTGCACTTTCTCCACTAATTTTCCCTCAACTCCTCTGGGAGGTAGTTTGATAGTAACCAGTTTCTTGAAGTTTAATTTGAGATTGTATTCTATATCTAGAGACTGAAGAACACACACACACACCCCTCCCAGAAAAGAAAAGGAAAAAAAGCAATGGAACCCCACAATTCCAGAGAATATTTTGGTAGCACATTACAGCACAAAAGTCATGGTGATTTTTTTTTTTTACTACATTCTGTGTTTGCTGTATATGGTGAGGTAATTTTTTTCAACGATAAAAGCATTTTTATTTTATTTTGTTAGAAACATTCTCTGGATAGCATATTAGATAAAAGAGGGTTTGGTAGGAAAAAACAAATAGTTGGATATAGAACAATCATTAAATATATGACCAGGGAATCATGTGTAGCTCTTAAGCCAGTTTCAAAATACATGTTTCTTTCCAGGTGTAGCAAAAACATAACCAAAGATTTTCTTTTTAAAAGTAGGATACACGTTGGTATGTAAAATATATGTATGTGTTGGGAAATGCCCGGCCTGGTTTCAGAAGCTGTAATCCTGCCAACAGGCTGGAGGGCCCCAAGGTTGGAAAAATCAGAAGGCCTTGGAGAAACAGGCTCCTGAGGAGATTTGGCCTGTCCCCACCCCCTGCTTTGCCATGGATGGTCAATGGCCAATGACAGGTAAGTTACCTCGCGCTGAGGTGTACGACCTAAGACTGGTATTGGCCGATATTGGCAGCAGATAAGAAATTGGGGGACACGGAGAAGGGGCAAAAAGGCCCCTGCACCTCTCGGCTTGGCTTGGACACGGCCAGTCCTCATTATAGCCGAGAAGCGGTCTCCTTATCCCTTGGTGACCTCCCCTGGCCTGGCTCTGGCTTGAAACACTACAGGAAAAACACGCCCTAAATCAGATCTGGCGGTCCCGGAGTAATCAGGCCTAGAGGTAAATTCTTTAGAGTGTGCTCTGTTCCTCCCTCAGATCTCTGGTCAGCTCTTGCTGCATAGGACCTTTGTTTACACCCCTTACCTGGTATTGTTAAGACATTTACTTTATTTACACTTTTTATCCTATATCTTTAAGCACCTTTAAGTCTACTTCCCCCTTATCTATAGTCTCTACTGTTGATTCTAATATCTTCTCTGACCCATGTGTATCAGTGAATTCCTGTCACTTGTTTTCTTAAAGGTATCTATTCTCTGTGAACCTTAATATGCTAATGTAATGAGATAACGTATGCATTCTTGTTACCTACCTCACTGATAAGATTTTCAATGAAAGCCTTGGAACAAAGGGCAACGGGGCTTCCCCGCTAGACGGACTTCCCTACTAGGGGGATGTGCCTCGGCCATCCCCACTAGAGCGCTGCACCATGGCCTTATCCAGTGAGAGGGAAGAGCCCCTCTTGGCTCTCCCGGCAAACAGAGAAGTGTTTGCGACGTTTTGTGTTTTATCCCCCTCATCCGTGACAACCCCAGGATGGGCTCTGGGGGTTTCAGAGCCCTGCTCCCCCCTCAGCTGGCCCCAGTTGGTTTCCTTCAGGTTTCAGGGAGCACTGCGCTCTCTGCGGAGCTCCACCGCGGCAGTGCGTCCCTATAGCCGCCACACAGTGCGACATATATGCAATTGGAATCTTTCTTTTGTTCACATTTCAAACTCAAGCATTTGATTGTGAAATCTTCCCTTAGTATACTCTGGAAATTACAGAATTACAAAGATTACATAGTTTTAGCAATGGATGTGGGATCAGTATAATATATTAAGTTATATATTGTTTCAAAAAGTACACTAAGAATATCAGTAATTTTCATACAGCCTTCTATGTTTAAAAATTTTTTTTATTGTTCAAATACATTTGTCTCCATCTTCCTGCCACCATTTTCCCCTGCCTCCCTCAATCCTTTCCCACTTTGGCTTTGTCCATGCGTCCTTTATACATGTTCCTTGACTTGACCTTTCCTTTCCCTTCCCCCGCCCCCCCTTCCTTCTTGATTCTATTTGTTACCAAACAAATGGACCCTTGGTGGGGAGGGGTGTGTGCCCAGATGCTATTACCAAAACACCTCCTTCCCCCAGGTCCCTCAGTTGTAGGTCCTTTGCCTGCCGCCCTTGGAATTATGGCTCTGAATGGCAGAGTTTGGTGAAAAGGAAAGGAACTATTTATTCAAAAGTTATACAGGTTTGATTAATGGCTAAAGGTCACCCTTAAACCTCAAAATCCCTTTAAAACAATCACCAGCACACACATCATCCTGCCTTCCTCCACTTTGCCCAGTTAGGCCAGTCAGGGGTACCATCCTTCAGAAGAAAAAGAAGGGAAGTCCGGGACTCAGCTAGGCAGGCCTCTCACGGGTCTCAGCACCATCTGCTGCGTCGCTGCGATATCCAGCTCCTAATCCATAACCGTGGTGCACCTGTTCATGGCCTGCCAGCAAGAGTCCTTTATCCCCTCTTTCTTCCCACGTGGACTTCACACTGTTTCCCAGAGACTGTGTCCCTTGTTCTCTCCTGCAGGCCCCTGTCTCTCCTCTCCCAGCTACATTCTGCATTAAGTCTTTTAAACCTTCCTGATTAGCTTTGGTGATATGCAAATTAACCCTTTTGGCATCTGAGGAATGAAGCTATCCTGTTACTGACATGCAAACTGATTCTCAATGGCCCTGCTCAAGGCTTCCATCCCTGGGGTGGGGAGAATATATTTTTCTTGGACACCCCAATCTCTGGACCCCATTACAAATACCCTTTGGGGGGCACCCTGGCTGTGCCCCGTTACAGTTAGGTTCCACTTATAGATGAGATCATATGGTGTTTGTCTTTCACCTCCTGGCCTATTTCACTTAGCATAACGCTCTCTAGTTCCATCCATGCTGTGGCAAAGGGTAATACCTCTTTCTTTTTGCTCTATAGTATTCCATTGTGTAAATGTACCATTGTTTTTTGATCCACTCATTTACTGACGGGCACTTAGGTTGCTTCCAAAATTTGGCTATTGTAAATTGTGCTGCTATGAACATTGGGGTGCATAGGTTCTTTTGAATTGGCGTTTTGGGATTCTTAGGGTATAATCCAGCAATGGAATCACAGGGAAAAAGGCAGTTCCATTTTTAGTTTTTTGAGGGAATTCCAAAGTGTTTTCCACAATGGCTGCACCAGTCTGCATTCCCACCAACAGTGTACTAGGGTTCCCTTTTCTCCACAGCCTCGCCAATACTTGTTTGTTGATTTGTTTATGATGGCCATTCTGACCTGTGTGAAGTGGTATCTCATTGTGGTTTTAATTCGCTCTTCTCTGATGGCTAGTGATGCTGAGCATCCTTTCATATGCCTTTGGGCCCTCTGTATATCTTCCTTGGAGAAGCGTCTGCCCAGGTCCTTTGCCCATTTTTTAATTGGGCTGTTTGTCTTAGAGTGGAGTCGTGTGAGTTTTTTATGTATTTTGGAGATCAAACCTCTATCTGATATATCATTAGCAAATATATTTCCCACACGGTTGGCTCCCTTTTCATTTTGCTGATGTTTTCTTTAGCCATGCAGAAGCTTCTTATTTTGATGAGGTCCCACTTGTTTATTCTTTCCTTTATGTCCCTTGCTTTAGGGGACATACGGGTGAAAATATTGCTGTGTGGAATATCTGAGAGTTTCCTGCCTATGTTCTCCTCTAGGACTTTTATGGTGTTGCGACTTATATTTAAGTCTTTTCTCCATCTTGAGTTTATTTTTGTGTATGGTATCAGTTGGTGATCAAATTTCAATTTTTTTCATGTAGCTATCCAGCTCTCCCAACACCTTTTGTTGAAGAGGCTATTTTTACTCCAGTTCATCTTATGCCCCCTTTGTCAAATATTTAATTGACCATAGAGACATGGATTTATTTCTGGGCTTTCTATTCTGTTCCACTGATATGTGTGTCTGTTTTTGTGCCAGTACCAGACTGTTTTGGTTACAGCGGCCTTGTAATATAGTTTGATGTCAGGTATTGTGATCCTTCCTGCTTTATTTTTCTTTCTCAAAATTGGTGCAGCTATTCGGGGTTGCTATGGTCCCACATAAATCTTTGAAATGTCTGTTCTATGTCTGTGAAATATGTCATTGGTATTTTAATAGGCATTGCATCAAATCTATAAATTGCTTTGGGTAGTATGGACATTTTGATGATATTAATTCTTCCAATCCATGAGCATGGTATATGCTTCCATTTATTTGTGTCTCCCTTAATTTCTTTCTTCAGTGTTGTATAGTTTTCTGTAGAGGTCTTTTACCTCCTTGGTTAAATTTATTCCTAGGTACTTTATTTTTCTTGCTGCTATAGCAAATGGGATTTTTTTCTC